CAAGCAAACCTTGTAAGTGAGTGAAGTATTGAGTTTGGGTCTTTTTGCTTTTAGTGGACTGTCTCATAAAATGTTCACAAATAACGAGAAAGGAAATGTAGTAACAGGTCACACCTGGCTTTTTACCACCCCACTTTTCCATCCCTTTCCCCCAAACTACTGCCACCCCATCTATGCTGTATCTTGGTTCCCTAGTGCTCTGTGTTGTGCAGCAAATAATTCTTGATCCCAGAAATCCCACAAACCTGTTTGTTCCCATCCCGTCTTTTCCTTTCTGCCGGTGATTTTGAACCATCTATTTTCGTCTTTTTCCCATCCCACTCCGTATTCCTTTTGTGCTGCACCTTTTCAGACTGTAAGCCTCAGAACTTCTTAAAAAATTGATCAGTAAGCTATGCTGAGAATCTCAGCAGCCAAAGAGCAAGATATGCATGAGACAAGCAAACCCAGATCCTCTACACAGGGTCAGGCAGGAGCCAGGGAGACAAAGAGCCACATCCCTGCTCACCATCTGACTTTGGGCCAGTCATCTCAACCTGCCTCAGAAAAGGGGAGGCTAGAAAAACAACACAGGCAGTGACGGCACAACTTTGTAAGCTCTTTGTGGGAAGGGGCAGGATTAAAGAGGGCAGAACAACAGTAGATAGCACATATGCATTCTCAGCTATGTGGCAACACTGGCTGGAGGGCAATCGGGTTTCTTCAAAATATTAATATTGGTTTAATCTCCTGAGGGGCTTTGAGCACCATGCTTCTGTACTCCCCCCACAAGCTGGCTTCTCGCTTAGCCTTACTTCACCAGGAAGAGCTTTAAGAGCTTCCTAATCCTCTTCCTGGTCCCTACCCACAGTGGCCACCAAGTAATTTGCAACAGGGGATATAAAAGGGGACATCCTGCAGCCAAACCTGGCTCCTTTTCCTCCTTTTCCCTACCCCACTTTGCCTCACTTGTACCCCCAACCTCAGCTCCCCACTGCCACCTGTCATATACCCAAAAAGAGGCAGCCACCTCTGAGGTGGGAATGTCAGAAGAATGATTGCCTAGGATGCTTCGGCATGCTCTCATTCTGCAAGATGCAGTCACAGCTTTGCCTTGGCTGTGAATGGAGATTAACACCATTTGCTGAATGGGAACAGCTGTGCCTGATTTAGGAACTGCTGTTCTCAAAGAGACTGTACAGCACTGAGGAAAAGCAAGGGAGGTAAAGAGCCCGGACTTTGGGGTTCCAACCATGCCTCAAAGAGGATCCCTGAATTGTAATGGTCCAGGAGAGGTACAGCTGGAGCTGAATCTTCCAAGGTGCTCCACCAGCATCCCGACCACTGCTTGCCTGGAGAGCAGGTGGGTAGACAGAAGGCTGTGTGAACATGCACAAGTGTGAGTCGCACCTGCTCTGAGACTCAGGTTCTCGTCTTCTCTCCCCTCCCTCTACCAGGATAACAACATATTGTTGCTATAAACCTTGGTGGAGATACCTAACTTCAAAACAACTCAAGGAGGTTGAACAGAGCTCATTGTGGCAGTCTATGAGTAGAAAATAAAGCCAGAGCAAGTGTTATGTATGTGTGCGAGAGAACATTAACTCTAGAGGAACCAGGCAAGCACAATGACCAAACAGGGAAGATGAGTCAACAAGTCAATGTAAGTACTCAGATGTCAATACAACACATAGAGAAAAGCAGATCGCAGAGAGCACCTGTACTCTTTGGCTTGCCCCATGAGGCAGACAGACAGGCTGCTTGGAGCCCTGCCATTGTTTCTAAAAGTCAAATGATCTTGCCAGTGCAGTCGTTGCTTTCCTCTTGCATCTCCACTATGTAATTAAAAGGCAGGAATATGGCACAGAGAAGGGTGAATGTGCCTGCAAATTGCACCAATGAGCCAGATGCTGACATTTCTCAAAAAGTATTGTGGAACCAGGGCTTGAATCATTTGCTTGAACCAACTTAGAGAGGACTTCTAGACAAGCCATGGGTAGGCCATATCCACTCCAGCAGCCATCCAGCTGGAAGCCACTACCTCTGTGCCCTCATCAATCTGAGCATGCCAGTACCTTTGAAAAAATGACTCAGAAAATATGAAGAGGGAACCCCAGGAGAACAGAGAATCAGCAGAGGAGATACAGATTTCTAGATCAGAGTTGGGGAACTCCAAACACCAGATACATGTAAATTATAGTGGAATTATGGCAACGGACTTGACTGCAGCCTAAGGAATGGGCATGGATGAGATTTTAATTCTATTGATTGTTCAAACTTTGTCGGGCTAGTTATTTATTGTGGCATTGTGTGTTTTATAATTTTAATGAGATATTGTGGTTTAATTGACTGTTTATTTTATTATTGTAATGTTTTTGTTTACATGTTGTTTGCCGCTTTAAGTCCCGATCTGGGAGAAAAGCGGGATATAAATAAATAAATAAACAAACAAACAAATACTTGTGGATTTCTAGTATTGGTGGAACTTAGTTCCTAACATTGTCAATCAGCACAATGGTCAGGGTTTATGGGAGCTGGAATTCAACAAAATCTAGGTATCTATATGTTGCCCATTCTTACTCTAATTTTTTAGGGATGTAGAGTAGAAATATATGAAGCTAAAAGGATATGTAGATAAAGATCTTTCTCCCAAACAACAATAGTAGACCGCTTCCCTCCATTTCCACATCCAATGTATCATTTCCTTCAACAGTGAAGTATTGAACAGTGTAAAAGCAGTCAATAGGAATTACCTCACTGTAGTTTCTTCCACCCCATGGAAAATATCATACAGCCTCCCCAACATGATTTTTAAAACATCCTTAAATGTCAGCAATCAGGAAACCTAAAATACTCGAAGGACATTAGGTTGGGAAAGGCTGCCTCCTGCATCTTTCCGTTATAGGAAGGCATGCTTAGGGTGACAGAAATGGCTTAAATTCTGTCCCCTTCCTTTCCAAGCAAATTCTGGCAGAAATATCACTTCAAACTGTTGCTGCTGGCATGTCAACTGCACTGCTGTAGTGTCTCCAGAACTAGCCCCAAATGGAAACACAGCTCAAAGAGCTTCTCACGCACTTTTTGCCAGTTCTCGGTGCCAGACTCTTGAGGCACAAGAAAACTGAAGTCTGCTTATAATGCAACATCTCTCCCCTCGTTTCCCTGCCACATGGAGGATACTGTGCAGAAAGCCTCCCAAGGCCATCCATTTTCATGCTATTATTACCAGCACCCAGCACTCAGGGAAGGAGGGAGGGAGAGAATGTCACTGTAGCTTTATTGTTATGTTCCAGGAACACAGAGTGGAATATCACAGAATTCAGGGGGATGTGGGGTTTGTCCCTTGTGTGTACTTTAAAAATAGGACTGACGGGACAGCAATTCAGGAGTGGAACCATATAGTGCCCTTGATTTTTAAAACTCAGACCAGACAGTGTATGTCTTTTTTGTGATCTTTTACTAATCTCTGTGTGCAGAAATCTTTTTTTCCCTTTGGGCTAGTAAGACTGGCTGATTTCTCTTGCTCCCATCCAATAGAGCTTCTAGATCACGGAATCTTAAAGGAGTCGGAAAGGACTATAAGGCCATCTAGTCCAACCACCTTCCAAATAGATGAGCAGCAGGCTTAAATCCAACAGACAGCATGGAGACAGAGTAAGAGGAAAGCTTCGTTTGTTTTGATTTCTACCTGGCAAAGAACCACCAGCTTCTCTTTTTAAACATGAAACAGGCTCTGGCTATTAGTACTTTGATAGGAGACCATCTGGAAATACGTGGGATCTCCAGGTAGGGTTAGGAAAGCTTCCGTCTTGAAACTCTGGAGAGTCTGCTCCATTTCCAAGTTGATAAAACTGTAGATCAGGCATGGGCAAACTTCACCTCTCCACAATTCCTAACAGCCAGTAGGCTGTTAGGAATTGTGGGAATTGAAGTCCAAAACACCTGGAGGACTGAAGTTTGCCCATGCCTGATGTAGATGGCCTGCATAATATATTCCTACAGCTATGAAAGATCACAGTGCTGCTCATTACAGTTTGTATGGGGAAAGAAGATATAGCCATCAATTCCAGACAATGAAGACGTCCCTTTCCTCCCTTACGAGTAGAAGTATCAGTCTGGGCCTCCATCTACACTGACCATTTAAAGCAGTTTCAAACTGGTATGGAAGAAAGTGGTTTCACTGTGTAGATGATTCATAGGAAATCCTGGAATCAGTCTGAGGCCCAGATAGTGATTACACAAACCACACAGCACCAGTGTGTATTAAGGCCTTTCTTTTGCACACTTCTGTGGGGAGTTTGTTGTCTGGCTGCCACAGTTTGGAGCTAGCTTTGAACTGCATTACACAGTTAATGTAGATGGGATCTGGGATGCTGAATTCCTGACTCTACTCCTAATAGGACAGCAACGCAGCACTCATATTGGACACAGGTTAGGCTCCAGGAGATAGAAGGAATGATAACATACAAATGTAAGAATGAATAGTCACACAAAGATAAATATAGCACTCCATCCCAAGGCCCCTGGGCAGTACCATCTGCTCAGGGCCTAGTTTTCACCAGGAGTGGAGGGGGCTGCCAAATTTTACAAGGCCCACAACAAGGCTAAGACAAAGCGTGGCAGAGACTGAAACAACTGCTCAGCCTCCCATTTTCTTAATTAGTGCTAAAAGCAATGCTTCCTAGTGCTACTGATGTTTTCCTCCCTCCTTCCCCATCATGAGTGAGCCCCCTATTAATGTACAGGTTATCTTCTTGGCTTATGCCGGCATCCTATGGTTGGGTGCCATGCCTTCCACAGAATACTATGCCTGTGGGCTGTTTCTGCAGTAGCCAAGCCACCAGCAAATACTGTGAGCAGCAGGTGTAAGTGAGAAAGGCAGCAGCCCCTGAAGCAGAGCCTCCCAGGGGCAGCCTGACCTGGCCTACTTCACACTGCTTAAAAATACCACTCCTTCTGGATGGCTGAGCTTTTCCCTCCCAAGCCCCTCTGACAAGAGTGTGAGGTTGGCAGCCAGGACAGGTGATCTCAGAGGTTTATTCTCAGCATACAGACAGACATCAAGGTGCTCATTCTTCATCCTCCAGAGGAAGCACAATCTTGCTAGGGTCATAGTAATTGGAGTCAAGGACGGGCAGGCCCAGTGCCTCTCGCTCCTTTATTTTTCGTTCAGCTTCCCGACGAGCCCAATTTCGCATCCTGAATGAGAGAAAAGAGAGAAAGAATGAGCGAGCTCTTAAGCGCTGCCAGTATAGAGCTAGAAAGTACCCCCAACAGATGGTCACCTAGCCTTTGTAGTAGTAGTAATAGTAGTAGTAGTAGTAATAATAATAATCACAATAGCAGAAACCCCAGAGGCCATACAGTCCAAACCCCTTCTGCCATGCAAGAAAAACACAATTAAAGCACCCCCTGAGCAGTGGGAGGGAAATGGGGTTTTGGAAGAAAAGAAAAGGTCTAGGTGGTGAGAAAACGTCTGAGCAGGGAGGGAGAGGGTCTGTTCTCCTGGAGGATGCTACTCCTACTGCTGTTTCAATACTTTAATTTCCTGCATTTCTCAGGAGGAGGAAAGAGGAGGAGGAGGAGGGAAGAAGCATGGCACTGTGGTGCCCCAAGGGCTCCATGGAGCACAGTTTGAGAACCCCTATCTAGAAACATGGGATAGAGTGGGGCAGCAAAAATTTAGGAAAGATTAAAAGGTTTCTGAATCCCACCGAGTGGCTATTTCAGACATTTAAACAAATGTATTAGCAACAGCATAGTGTTTATAGTGGACTCTTGCAGCAAATGCTTCAGCTGTACTTCATAAAAAAGGAAAATCACCCTGTGTTGCAATCCTTGCAAGTGCAGCTTTATTATCAGTAAATGCTAAATTTTCTGCCTATGTTATATACCTATGTAGTCCAGGTCATATAACATAGGCAGAAAATTTAGCATTTACTGATAATAAAGCTGCACTTGCAAGGATTGCAACACAGGGTGATTTTCCTTTTTTATGAAGTACAGCTGAAGCATTTGCTGCAAGAGTCCACTATAAACACTATGCTGTTGCTAATACATTTGTTTAAATGTCTGAAATAGCCACTCGGTGGGATTCAGATGTTATATACCTATGTAGTCCAGGTCATAGAGCCCCCGGTGGCGCAGTGGGTTAAAGCACTGAGCTGCTGAGCTTGTTGATCAAAAGGTCGCAGGTTCGATTCCGGGGAGCGGCGTGAGCTTCCGCTGTCAGCCCTAGCTTCTGCCAACCTAGCAGTTCGAAAACATGCAAATGTGAGTAGATCAATAGGTACCGCTCCGGCGGGAAGGTAACGGCGCTCCATGCAGTCATGCCGGCCACATGACCTTGGAGGTGTCTACGGACAACGCTGGCTCTTCGGCTTAGAATGGAGATGAGCACCACACCCCAGAGTCAGACATGACTGGACTTAATGTCAGGGGACTACCTTTACCTTTACCTAGTCCAGGTCATATAAAAATTTCTCAGGCGGAAAGTAGTCTCAAGTGGAAAAATCTTAAGAAACCCTGCAATAGAGCACCAGTGAAAGCTTCACTGTTGACATAAATCATACGTACTTATAGCTGGAGCAAATACATGCACATCTTATTTTGCAGTCACTTGCTCAGCCAATATTTTTGAACCTGAATCAGATTCCCATCATATGGCAGGAGAAAGGTTAAGGAAAGGAGATGCTGCCATATTTAGCTTTCTTTGGAAAGAGAAAAGGTACATTAGCAGTGGATGAGAGGGGGACGCAGTTGTTCTCAGGTAGAAGGAGGTATTAAAAAGTCCACTCCTTTGAAACATGGAGCGTTAACATTTTCAGTGATTTTGTGGACTAGAAACTTGCTTAAAGTTTTTTCTCCCAAGAAGCTGGATCTGCATTGATCACTGAATCTGACATAGACTGAAAAACAATAGTACTCCATTCCCACTCCATGGCGCCCTCTAGCAGCGTATGGGAGGCAGTGCACCCAGGGACTGCTCCCAGCTGTTTGCCTCTAGCGTACATTGGCAGAAGCTGGCATATGAGCCCAATCAAAGCTACAGCATTAATTACACTGTGCCGAGATGAAGTGCAAAGCTGCTTGCCTTAATTAGTGCTTCGTTAAGGAGTCACCAACCTGCCGCTTAGCTGGCAGGAATAAGACACAACTCCCCCCCCCTTTTTTTTATTGCAAAGCTCCATTCCGCTTTTATTTTGGGATACTTTGGAAAGGGCTTCTATCAAAACATCCAAATATATAAAGGTGGTGGCCTCATGCCTGGTTCCCATTAAGCTCCTGACTGTCTTGGTTCTCTCTGCCCCAGCCAGACCAACACAGACCATTTGGCCCTATCAAGCGAATGCGGCTCTTGCTTACATTCCCTTCGAGGCCTCCTGCCCAAGACTTAATCAAGAGTTCCTGGCAAAGAGGGAGTGTGCCTTGAGCAAATGGTTGATTGGAGTTACAGCTTTATTTATTTTAGATACATGTAAAAATCTAAAAGAGCCAGCCAGCTGCTTTGGTGGCTCAGAAAAGCAGGAACGGGGTCTGGCCTAGTTTGCAATCGCCCGCTGCTATTTCCATCTCCCCTTCAAACGGACAGCATGAAGTCAGGCAAATTTCAACCGAGGGAGGGGGACGTGGTCTTTAAACTCTCTCTGCTCCACACGGGAAGGAGGAGGCTGCATCATCGCTTTCTATTGTAGCTGATGATTAAGGAGAGCATTTCTCAAACTTTTTGAACCGCTTCAAAATGCAACCCTCCTCAAAAATGGGTGAGGAGCCTTCCTTTGGCAAATATGCATGTAAGCCACACATGCAGTCTACCTGCTGCTACAGTCATAAGGATTTGTGGATTGGGGCCATAGTAGGAACAAGTGGAAACAATTGGGATGGCTCATCACTCCCCTCCTAAAAGCAACCAGCAAAAGAGGCAGGTAGCGTGTAGACAATGTGGTCCTCCATGTGACCCCATAGCTTCTATACTTAGCAGTCAGCAGCCCACGGTGCATGCAAAGCTGAAATCTTTTGTATGGAGAGGAAAGCATCTTTGCATTTTCTGCTCCAGGATATTTTGCTTCTTTGCATTTCTATGTCATAAGTACAATGCCTTCCCCCATCCATCCCAGTTTGAACTAAGATAGGAACCTCTGGATCTCCAAAGGCATTAAAATGCCCTTATTCCCTTAACATGAGGACTGTTAGCCAGGACCTAGAATGAGGCTGTTGTGTGGAGCATGCCAGCCAGAGATGCAGGAGAAAACACTGCTAGAACATGGACATACAGCCCAGAAACTACACAACACCCCTATGATTCCGGCCATGAAAGCTTTTAACAATATATAGGACCTAGAATCATAGAAAACATGAAAAAGCCCACAAGGGCCATCCAATCCAACACTCTGCCATGCAGGAACACCCAATCAAAGCACCCCTATAGGTATTAGTCCTCAGGCCTGTAACCGGGGGGGGGGGGGGGGGGGGGGGGGTTAGGGGTTCAACCCCCCCCCCAAATTTTTCAGGTTAAAAAAAACCTGGTTTACTCATGAATTTTAACTGGTTAACCAAATCTCAATGCTAAGTCTATGAGATGAAAAAAAAATAAGAGTCCCCCCAGAACTGCAAGCACTATCTCAAGCAAATATTGACAATTTATTCACACTGTCATTACTTGCAGCAGTAGCCGATGTAGTGAAGCAACCAAGTTGGGGGTGGGGTTGAATGCTCTCAATAAGGAGGCCAGACTTGGTGGAGGTGGTTAACAGGGGTGGAGCTGCAGGCTATTAAAGGCTGCTCTGCCCCCTGCTGTGCTATTTGCTTCAGCGTGACCCTAACCCCCCCCATTTTCAACACCCCCCCCCAAATTTTCAACCTTCCCCGAAGTTTTCAACCCTCCCCGAAATTCTTTTCTGGCCACGGCCCTGTTAGTCCTATATATTTGTATGATTTCTGTCCCAAGTTTCCATAGGAACTGTAGCCTATTGCTACCAAGCCTTGTTGCAAGTTCTTATTTGACAACATTTCTGTCTCGACAGGGAGTCTGAGGCAAATGGACATTGCTTCACTGTGGCCATCAGTTCATCCAAAAGTGGGGGCAAAATCTGAACAACAAGGAGGGGCTCTGACATGTTCCATCATTGGTCCAACCAGAGATCTGCCTGCCCACAGAGTACCTGAAGTGATAGTTTCCAAACAAGCTGTGCTAGAGTTTTCCCAGGGAAATGGATACAAGAAGCAAGACAGGAATAGTGGGTGAGCAAGGGAGGCTTAATGCCTCTATCCTGTCCCAAACCCTGCAAGCAGAAAGCTCACATGTTACCATGGGAAATGTTCTGCAACTGTTGACACATATTCTTGTGATTTTGTATTCTTTGGATCCAAATATTATCCCGTAGGAACTCTAAAAATGGAAAGGCAAGATCTGGACTGGAGTGAAGGGGACTGGAGTGAAGGAAAGGGTCAGGCATGCCTGTGAACATTTCCTAAGATCTATTTGAGGAAAGAACGGGATGCTGGATTAAGTGTTGTCTCTGGCTACAGACTCAGGCCAAGTGAAACAGTAGAAACATTCCTACTTCTTCAGAAGTCCCTTTCAGAGCCTATTTTTCCTGTCAATAGTTAGCATGTCCCTCTGGCCCCTTTAAATAATGATACCTTTTCTGACTTTTTCCTCCGTCCATAAGGACTAGACACTTGGACTTTCAGGCCATTAAATGAAATGTTAGAATATCAGGATCCAATTTCAAGTGTCTGTTTTGCACCTCAGGTACCCATGAGCTGTGTTCTTTACACTGGCTTTCTCACTCCTACTTCCCTTCTCCCCAAAACCCAGCATACAAACTGATTACTATGGCTGCAGTAATGGGTCTGTGGGTGTCATAAACTGTGGAGAGAAAGTAGAGGACAATGTAGAATATTGGGAAGGGGACTCAGAAGTACAACATCAAGGCAGAATTTTCCCCTATTTATACAAAGCATCGTAGTGTCCAATGACCCATGGATCTGCTACAATTTTCCATTCCCCTCCACAGCTCCTAGTTGGCATTTCCCTAGACCTCCCCACCAGCCAGAATGAGTCACAAGGAAGAAAGAGACAGTGAATGCCCCCCACCCTCAATCTCATCCCACCCCAAATAAGGCCACTCAGGACCTGAGCCTAGGACAGGAATGCCAAACACAGGCCCAAAGCAAGTCTAATTATTTCCTGCTCT